CACACACACACACACACACACACACACACACACACACACACACACACACAAGGAAAATCTGTATGTTTCTCACATGATTAAAAAAGTTCAGACTTACTATTCTAAAATACTGCACAATAATTCAAAATATATTCTTTCAAAACAAGTCCCTGCCACTGTCACCTTCGGTTTGCTAAGTTGAGGTCTAAAGGATGCTTAATATTCAGTAATACCATCCGTTTCATGGCACCGACACTATCAGATGAGAACAAAACATGAACTGATTTAAGCTGAAGCAAATGACTTTACAATTAATGAACTTTGCAACATTGACACTGTTGAACTGATTTGAACACTGAACTGACTCGAGCTGAATAATGTCACTGTTGTTATCAGCTGAACTGAACTCGTTTCATAATAAATGAACTTCACACAGTTATTGAACTGAACTGAATCAACACTGATGTGAAAAAATTTACAGCTAATATTTTGCTTCTATCATTTTGAAGTTTGCATCATTGGTTCTGTGACTTTATTTTTCTTATTACTGTAAAGCTGTTTTGAATCCGTCTGTATTGTATAAAGCGCTATTGAAATGAAGGTGACTTTAAGCATACTTATCTTGGTTTAAGGCAAGACACTACAGCTGAATACGCTAAAAATGTTAACTAATGGATCTTACCATACTTCTGCTGATTAATCACAATACATGAAGACAATTGGTTTGTATTACAAGTTTTTTGAAATGCAATATTTAAATATGCAAATGAGACATCATCTGGATTCTGAACACTGGGCGAGTCGGGTTCAAATTTCTTGTTTGATGTTGTTGTTGAATTAAAGGTTTTTACAGAGGGGATTGTGGATTTCTCCTTTTATCACTCCATAAATCAGAAAGCAGAGAGAAAAACATTAAATGCATGAAAACAAAACAAAACTATGCTTTTGCCTGTAGTGTCTGGCCTTAAAGATGTTTATATGTTTTTACTGCAAAGCCAGATTCAAATACTAATGAAGAAAATGCATTGCAGTGATCTCTCTCACCTTCACTGAGCCCAGCATGCCGCCGACAAACAGGTAAGCGTTCTGGTCCACATCCAGCACGGTGTAAGTCTCGGGTGATTTGGCACTTCTGAGGGTCGGTAAGATGCCTGTTTTGGGTCCCTCCAGCGCGTGGACCGAGATACTGCCGTTCAGCCCGATACTGGACACCACCAACGTGAGAACAAGACCAACACTTCAGCCACTAATAACCAGCTGTTTTCCTTTTCAGTCATGATTAGTGGAAGGATTGTACGTAATCAACATTTCCCCCAAACACTGTTTATCTTTACTGCTTCATTAGATGTCCATGTGAACTGAAATAACATTTTAGTTTTGTAAAGAAAATGTAGGCATCTGTCTACAGAACTAACGTCTGGAAAGAAATCAAAAGCATTTAAGAAGCATTAGATAAGACGTAATGTTATTTTGGCAGAAATTATGACTTGGTTTCACTGAATTAACACTTTAAAACGTTTGAATATTTATTCTGAATCTGAATTTTTCTTAGTCCACTGACAAATAGCTTTTCTTGATGGGGAAGTCGTGGCCTAATGGTTAGAGAGTTGGTCTCGTAACCCAAAGGTTGCAGGTTCGAGTCTTGTACCAGCAGGGATTGTAGGTGAGGGGAGCTCTCTTCCCTTGAGCAAGGCACCAAACCCCTAACTGCTGCAGCATAAATGGCTGCCCACTGCTCCGGGTGTGTGTTCACGGTGTGTGTGTGTTCACTGCTGTGTGTGTGCACTTAGGATGGGTTAAATGCAGAGCACTAATTCCTAGTATGGGTAACCATACTTGGCCACATGTTTCACTTTTGATTTTAGCATAAATAAAATTAAATCTAGCGAGGTTTAAACTTTAGACAAGGAAAAATATTTCAGTAGAGTAAGAAAAACATCTCTGCAATATTGTTTAAAGATGTATTATTCGAAAACCATGGAACACAATTTCCAACAAACAAACAAACAAAACAAAAAGGTAATTGCAACTTTTTCCATCTCACAATTCTGACTTTATTTTTCACTTTTTCAACTTTACATCTTCCAATTTCTTTTGTTTTTCTCTCTCTCTGAATTCTGAGTTTATATCTCTTTTAAGGGAGCCTAATTTCATGGACGAATGGATCTGTTAGTATCATGAAATGCGTATTATGAAATGCATAGAAATTTCTAAATAAAAATAAATACATAAATAAATAAATAATACAAGTCTAAATTGCCAGATTTAAACTCAAAATTGTGAGAACTTAACAAAAAAATTAAGTCAGAATTGTATGTAATTTTTTTTGTGAATTATGAGATGATATCTCCCAATTCAGATTTTTTTTTTTTTTACATATTTCCTGAAAATATATTTCCAAAAAATAAATAAATAAATACTGTGTATATATACCTGTATATATATATATATATATATATATATAT